CATTTATACGATTCTAGATGCCCAATTTTCTTTAAATATTATGGAAAGTCAATTAGTATTTTTGTAAATATCTAGAAGGCAAAAAAATCAAAAGAGAGTGTGAACTGGATGATGCCTAGGCTGAAAAAATTGGAGGTTCCAATACCAATATACACGGCAAATGTTGACTTTTTCCACCAAGGGGGAAATAAATATTTGAAATTGAAGTTGGGTTCACTAGATTTGGTCGACCACGACATGCACTTTCTTCTCTAACCGCGTTTCAATGACCCTCCATGAAAATGGAATTTTAACTTGTATTGGTGAAATACTTGTCATCTTTTTGGATGGAAGAAATTTCGTCACTCGGTTATTACTAAATTGTTATTAATTCGACTCGGGAGACGATTTTTGTTCACACTTTCAATTAAATTATACTAAGATGTGAAAGTTTCTTATTCGATAACGTCAAATAACCTTTTTCCTTTTGCTAGAAAAGTAAAAAATAATAGGGTAATTAGTACATAACGTCCCCACCTTTTATTGTTATTGTGGAAAACGTCCATACCTTTCATTTTTTTTGACATTTTCACCATTATTTACATTGCGTAAAAGGTCATTTTTACATATTTCTCAATTAAAAATTATGAAATGACGAATATACACTTCCCTTTAAATAAAACAAAAAGAAAAAGAAAAAATATGGACATTTTTTGCAATAATAGTGAAAGCTATGGACATTTTTCTTTTTCTTTTTCTTTTATTTAAAGAGAATGATATATTAGTCATTTCATAATTTTTAATTGAGAAAATAGGAAAAAATAACATTTGCGCAATGAAATGTGAAAATAAGGATGCAAATGTAAAAAATGAAAGGTATAAACGTTTTCCACAATAACAATGAAAGGTGGGGATGTTATGTGTTAATTACCCAAAAATAATAAGTTTCCAGATAACAATACATCTCAATTTAGTCATTCTTATTTGTCATTTTAATGTGTGCACCAGTTTTATCAACATGATGATATACACTTATATAAATAACTTTATTCTTGAAAATATAATTTATATAAAAAGAAAAAAGAAAAGAAAAAATGGATTGTAAAAGTAGCCTAGATGGAATGAAGCTATTGAGAATATCGTCGTCTTTTTCAATCAAATTTTTGTCTCGTTGACTTTACAAATTAGTTTTTTTTTTTT